GTAGAAGCGAGCTGTCCTATCCCGCTACCTCTCCTCCCCATGTCTATTTCTTTCCCACCCATCCTCTTCACTGCCGCTCTCGTGTCGTGTCTCCCTTTTCATCATGTCTTTTTCTCTTTCTTTGTTTTCCTTTTGAGTCTTTCGTCCTTTTTAATGTTTGATTCGTTTTGTTCTACTGTAGCGCTACTGTAGCATGTTGGATCCTGTTAAGCTGATGTCCCACTGACCATCAACCATCGTAAAACTACGAATATCTTCAGTTCATGGTGTACTACACAATCACGACAGTGTTTCGTGAGACGGATCAGAATATCGCTATTTTATTGGCTCTCTATTCTGTCTCGGGGTAACTGCACAAAGGGCCTAAAGGGGGGGCACGCAAAGATGGGACAAAAACTGCCAATTAGCATCATAACTCTGCTTCGCAAACACTCTAGGAACTCATTTCACTATCAATCAACCCGTCACGCCGTTACCAATGAGACCTCTGCGCGTGGCGAGAATCCTGTAAACAGTACCGTCACAAGGGGACTAAACGTGAATTGGAACTGTTATGGACAAATGGAGAGGAAACTCTCAGAAAGATCGGACAACCCCAAAAATTGGCCCAATAATTTGCCTTTATTTCAACTAAACCGACTTTGCCACGTCACTTCGGTTCATCCCAATATCCTGCGAAACGAGCTCAAAGTGGCAACGCTTTCGAAGTGCGAAGCTTTGCCACCAATCGACGCTCTCCTAAGGACCGTGTTCTCACCTGATGCCCACCTCGTAACACTTTTCCACGACGTTGCGCTTTGCGTGATCGGTTTGTGGCAGGCTGGGATTTTTTTTGACTCGTGTGAGCTCTTTTTCCAGCTTTTTGATTTCTTTTGAACGCCGCCTGCGCGCATTGCCTCTCTCGTTTCTACGAACCAAATCGAGGGGTTGCGGTGCAGTCACGACACAACCATTCGTGGTATCCACAAACCTGGACGCGGTCATTACTGCATCGGAGCCTAATATTTTTTCCTTAGTTTCAGCCATCTTTTTTTAAAGGCAGCATCCAATTCCTTCACCATCAGGATGGGGGCACCGACCATTGCGGATGCTGGACGAGGGTTGACAAGGATACGACATGGGTCCAACGGCCACAGTCTAGATTGTGAAAAGCTAGCACAGATGTTGTCTCGAGTAACCGACATATCATATGCATACCGCAGCACACTGCAAAAAGCGTAGACATCAAAAAGTTTGTCTGCAGCATGCAACATGCAGTTCTGTAAACCAATGTCAATGTAGTGTTTGAAGGATGGAACAAAACTGAGTCACACGGCTGGGTCTTGCCGGACGTGTGGCAAGGAAGAACTTATACAACAACGTTATGACGACTAAATAATTCAAGAACTTCCAGTGACAGATGCGATCTGTATCCATCGTTAACGAGAAGGACGCTTCTGTTGTTCTCCGTTAGATCAGAAACATAGAGGACGAACTTTTGAGCCCAACTGATAAAATTGCGGCGATCCACGCCTCCATTTTCCTCTCTCATCGCTAGCACAGAGTGTCTTGGAAGGACCGACAGCGGTGTCTCGGCCACTTCTGTTCCATTACGTATAGCAATCTTGTAGGGAACTCGAGTCCCTTTCATTACAAACAATGGCGGACCGTGTTCGCCCGCAGCCGAAATAACAGGCATCATTGTAATTCTCGCCATGCTCGCAATATCAGGACGCCGCATGTCCCTTGCCCCGTGGCGGGGCATCAACCTTCGTGCCCGAGATTCCGCACCTGCATCGCGGTTTGGAGTACAACCACATTCGTCGAGGTTAAACAATCGGGAAGCGTCCATTTTATACTCACTGATGAGTTTTAGAGTAGCAAAATGATTGGTAATGGACTCAGAATCGACTTGGCGAAAGCGGACAGCTTCCTGAGTAACCGGTCGAGCAAAGACTAGTTCTTTAGAGTGTCGTTGACGAAAACGGTACAAAAAAACCTTGCTCGGTGCTTTGAAATTCCACTCAGCTGGCAGAAGATGGCGCCGTGCGGCAGGCATTTGTGAAATGAGGATTTGAATGGCTTCACGAAGGTGTTCTTGAGTCATGAGCAGCCGCTTATTAGCGTTTTCTAGTAAAAAACCGACTACATTTCGCTCCTCGGCTGCTGTGAAGGCTGCCTTTCTTCCCTGCTTCTGCACAGCGGTGTGCATTCTTCGCTGCAGTGTTGCCCGTGGTATGCCAAACTTGGTCTCAGCGGCCCGGTACGTGTTTTTGTCGCGCACATATTGAAGTGCCTCATTGATTGAGGCAGGTGCTACAACGCGTTTTCGCGATGCCGGAATAATGGGGTTGACTGGGTTGGTGCAACGCTCAATTGTTCGGCAGTCTTGAGAGGGTACGGAGGGACTTTGTGGACACTTTGAAGGCAGTTGTGCTCATATGATGTCTATAAGAGGATGGGTCGGGGGGTTGTTTTGGGCGGGAAAGTCAATGGAAAGATTAGTTTTTGAATCTAGCCACACAGTTTCGAGCAACAGTGACTTTTCTCCGGCGTTTGGTATCACCAGAGATGCTCCAGCAATGCAAAACGCAATTTGTGGGCTTTTTGCAACAATTTATGTTGTCTCATGATTAAGTGAATGTCTCATCTTTGGGTGCCCCCCCTTTAGTATGTGAAGTTCACACTAGGCCTTCCACGTAGTTATGGGGTATAAGCCGTAAGAATCAATCATCATCAATAAAATACATCCACAATTGGATACGTTTCCAACAGTACATATTTACAGTGCCATAATTCAGTACGCAGCTATTCTACAGCAAGGGGCAGCACGACCACAATTACGTGTTAGCTTCATGAGCTTATTGTGATTGAGCAGCCTCAGGCCACCCCATTCCCTGACCGAGGCTTTTGTCAAATGCCCAAGTCTTTCGACAATAACACAACCCCTTCGCCCGTATCGGAGCCGCCACACCCCCTGGCCCCCCAATCCACTCCACAATCCCCAAACCCGCCCCTCCCACATGCTCCTCCATCTGTCATCTGCCCCTCCGACCTGCTCCTCCACCCCATACTCGCTCCCCCGATCCGCTCCTCCACCCCCCTTTCGCTCTCACGATCTGCTTCCCCATCCCCCCTGCAGCGCCGACCCGCTCCTCTGTCCCCCTCCTGCCCCTCTGATCTGTTCCGGCCTCTGCCCTCTTGACTCCGGCACACCGACATGCAGAATTATTCTTCAGTTGACGCCGCCAACGCTCTGCAAATTCTTGCTGACGCTGCAGTGGAGCGTCAGAACGAGCTTGAGAAATTCTCAGTTCAGCCTGACGTCTCCGATTCAGATGAAGAAAGCGACTCTGACAGCCGGTCTTTGATCGGTACTACGAGCGCGGCGGAGGGCAAGCAATTGTCAGCATGATCAATTTTGATCCAGAGGAGTTCACAATCATTTGGGCAAACTACAGAGATTTTATCACAACCCACTACAATTGTGGTCAAGGTCGCAAGTCACCGCATTCGGCAAAGGAAGTCTTGTTTATGACGCTCACTACCCTAAAACACGGCGGGCAATGGGATTTGTTGGCAAATCTCTTTTCCCTGAAGGGTCCCACCTTCGAAAGACTCATAATGCGCTTCGTGGACACGCTTTCTACCCACCTCTATGATACACTTGTCGCTCAAAATGGGGAGCTGTACTCCATGACTGAAATGCTGAAAGAAAAGTCTACTTTAAAGCACTTTTCGTTCGCTCGGTACGCTGTAGATGTCACTTTTCAGATGTGCAACCGGCCTAGTGGCAACATGCAGGAGGGAAAAAGTTTTTCTCCGGAAAACATAAGCTCTACGGCTACAAGGTGGAGGTTTCAGTTCTCCCAAATGGTTTAGCTATCGGCTGTTCAAAGCATGTGCCCGGGTCAGTGTCAGACCTTGAAAATTTTAAAGAAAACAGGGCTTTTCATGACGTGAATGTGAGGAAGGCGAGAAGTGACGGACATGTAACAGATCTTGGATTGTTAGCAGGTGAGTATCCAAGGCAATGGGCGATTTTAGCCGACAAGGGGTACCAGGGCGGAGCAGAGATTGTTCGCTTAGTCAGCCCAAAAAAGAAACCGCAGAATGCCTGTCTGTCGGTCGATGACGAGCGGTTTAACAGGAAAATCTCGTCAGACAGGATAATTGCAGAGAACTGGTTCGGTAGGGCGTGTGGTCTATGGGCGGTTGTCTCTAGCAAATGGAAGTGGTCTGAGAGCAGCTACGATACTATTTTTCAGCTATGTGCTGCGCTGACTAATTTGCACATTACTTGGCATCCACTTCGGCAGGAAGACCTGGATCGATATCAGCGTGTGAAAAATCGCCAGCTGCACATCGGTGTGGAACAAGTAGAGCGCCGACGGCAGTCCCAGGAGCGCTATCGTCGGAAGCGTGCGAGGCGCATGTCCCTGCAGTTGCACAGAGCTGGAATGCCAGATCGCGACCCCGATGCTGATATATGAGGCAATGACTACAGTGCCATTGAATAGTTCTGTAATGAATCACTTCCAACCCGAAAAATAAATGGCTACAAATTGTGCTAATTAATTGCCAAATTCTCAGTCGCGCATTGTAAGCGTTAGTCCCATCTGATGCCAATCAAACAATATACACCTCACCCGTCATTGCGTAGTTTCCCAGTCTTTGCGAGAAAGACCTACTGTGAACGCACACCTCCAAGCGATGCAGCACAGAGGCGATCAAACCCTTCCCGGAGGATTTACTAGCCGAAGCGGCTGATCTCAACTTGGTAGTTTCCACTCGAGGACAGCCCAACCGCTGATCCAATTTGGAGATTGTGCAGACTCTGCACTGCAGAGCACCGCACGGTATTCCAGCATTTGCACTTGGCGTTGTTTGCCTCAAATGTGGAAGAAGACACTCTTCTACTGTACGGGTTAATAACGATAACTTTTTTTGGCTAGACAATCAACAACCAAGTATGGGATCAGACACTTGTGCCTTCGCACCTCCCGCCTCCTCAGCCTTCTCCCGCAGGCTCGTTGCCATTCATCCTCGCAGGGGTAAACACCCCGTTCGTACCGCCTGCTTGCCTCGTCGCGTTCGAGCATCAATGATGCCGGAAGGTCAGGTAGCAGTCGTTGAAGTAAGTTAGAAGAATGAAGAAAAGCTGTGTGCGCTTCCTTCGCTGTGTTCTAACTCTGAGTTTCAATGCATAACTACTTGCACCGTTTCAAGATTGGCTGTGGAACTGACATGCATGGACAAGACGCTAATGTTGCTGCTACCCGAGCGTGTCGAAGTACGTACCGCACCACCGCTGCTTTCAAGTCGTACTGCGCAAGGAATGGGAACATGTGTATGACCTAACTCGACAAATTTTCGACGCACACATTTTGCGCTTCAATCAGATGCCATTGGGTTCAACTCGTTGCCGGGGCTAAGTCGTTTGCTCCCCGATGGTGATTTGTCGAAGATGAATGTCCACGTGCGGTTGGGTGTCCCCGAGCCTTATGTGAAAGATGTCGATGAACAGCGAGTCAAAGATCAGTTCCCGTATGGTACTGTTTCTGTCGAAGTTGTAGCTGGCGGTTTAGCTTGCGGTAGCGGCGTTGTCTTAGCGGAGCAAGGGGATGCACCTGACAATGATACGGCTCTTGTAGTAGTCGCAGCGGTCTCCGTGTTCTGCTAGCTCGACGACAGACGTATTCGGCTTGACGTTTGCTTTCATGGAGGACAACTGCTAAGATGCATCTCGATCGCACGCAACATACGAGATCCGGCATTTGGTAGGGTTTCCGCCAGTGAGGTGGCTGTTAGCTGCTAACGATACATCCAGCCGATCAGGTTGGTCGTCGAATCTAGAACACATTTGCATATTAGGTAATATTCCTAGCTATACATGCCTGGACTTCCGTATCGATGTAAGCTGGCGACATCAGATTCTCGCGTTTCGCAAAGAGCAGGGTGCGGCGTAGAAACATTCTTTAACTGTCATCAAAGAAGGCAGCTAAGAATCCATAAAATGAAAGAGCGGCGTATATCCACCGTCGTATTGTGAGGATAAGAACGAGCGCCGGCAAGCCCTAACGCATAGACAACGATGGCACTGCGAAGGAATAACAAGCAACGCTAGAGAGCGAGCCGTAAAAGTTTAGTGATATTCAGCTTGGTTTACGATCTCATTGCGAACCAAACAACGCAGCGACATGTCCTCTGTTTGACTTTTCTCGGAGTCGCGGAGAATGACGACAGATATGAGCTTTGACTTTCCGCATTGCTCAACCGCACTGCAAACGCGATCGGGCCAACCTGTGGCGCTTTGTCTCCTAGAAGGTGGTTAAGACCATGATCCAAACCCCGGCTACACCCCGAATGGTCACAGCACACCGAAAGCAGTACTGGCGGGCAAACTCGGAAGCAATAGTGGAAGCAGAACGGGGAGGTGCTTCATCTGGCTTTCCAAATACCGGGCAACTTGCCCTCGCTCGCGAGCTTCCGGAAGGCAATCCTTGACAGCCCCGTGGCCGAATCGACGGCCCTGGGCCTGCCCGTGATTACGCATCGCATGCGGATGCGGGTGGCGGCCGTGTTGTACGACATCTCGGCGAGCTTGCGTTGCGCGGCCTCGCGCACGGTCCACGGGAGGCGGCTCGACATGACGATGGACTTGAGCACCAGACGCGTCGGCTCGGCTTTGGCGAACATGCGCCGGCGCGCCATGTCCATCGCTACTTTGCCCATGGTGGAGAGGGGGGCTGTGGAGAAGCTGGGACGGGCGTGACCGGTAAGGACGATGTTCAGAAATGGTGTGTGTCGGTGGATCAAAAGGCGTTGTTCCTGATGCGCTGTGGGTACGGGATTCTTTGAATAAGGCATATTCTTTCCTGATCTCCAGGGGGCTGTAAATTAGGGCGGGCTCTAGTGAAGGGGAGGAACATTAAATGTAAAATTTTTCTGAAATTCAGGCCTGATAATGCACCTGTGTATTAGTGCCATTCACGTGCAAGTGGCAAATATTAAAATGTGCAGCACACTACTGCATCGCCCCTGCCACAGTGGTGAAAAAATATATAAAGCACGCCCCAAAACCGCCATTGCTGCACAGAGATAAGTGCTTGACTAAAAAGGATCCTTGCAGCCCCTCATACACGAAAGGGAAACTCGAATATGTAAACGGTTTTATACAATCGTGCTTTTCCACCACTGTAATACTGGCCCTCACGGCCGTGATGTAGAAAGAAAAGCTTCGGCGTGGAGATCAGCGTTCATGGACGAACGCCAGTCGCGTTTAGAGCTCGATCGTAGAGTGAATATGGCGGCGGGTTTTATGTCGGCATAGCTCGAAGCTTCATAGCTGCAAATTAAGACGTGAGATACGGCAGAGGTGTTTGCACTCGGGGCAAACAGCAATACACATCAACGAAAATTTTCATGGCTCCCGTAGCGACTACAGAGAAGGAAGACAAAGCGACCGGGTGCTCCAAGATATTTTCGGACGCTACCATAGAGTTTAAAAGACCGGAAACTGGGCGGTGCTCGATGACAGCGAAGACAAGTGTTCTGTGCGGAGAGATCTAACAGCGAGTTAGGGTTAATGAAGGATAGGCACAGGCGCCTTCGGTAGTACCCTTCTCACAGGCTCAATCTGTGACAAGGCTCAAATTGTGACACCAAAATTATAATGCCGCGCCGCATAGTTTCGCGCATATGATTTTGCTAAACTACTTCGCAACGAATTAAATATATTCGTTTGATGAAACATATTCACATGCTCTTACAAACGGTCAGTTTTCTGCTCATGCTTTTGCAGAGGTTTCCGTCGCTCCCAATAATGATTATGTGTTGCGCAACATTCTGAGAAAGAATATATGCCTGTCAAAGAACCCCACACCTAAGAAATCTAATAGAAAATTCCTCGCAACAGGAAACGCAGCGACGGTTGGCAATTTGCAGTCCGTTCGTGCTCGTTTGGAGGGGCGGAATTCTCCAAAAGCGCCCGTACCCAACGTTTATCACATTCAGGAGTTTAATGTAGAGAATGATACTGCAAACAAAAAAAATATTGACTCTCAGAAACGTCTGAAAGCGCGGTCTGCGGTGTCGCCTCTCGAAGACATAGTTTGCGACGACTTGCCAATTTCGCAATGGCCAAGAGCCCGAAAACAGCGGATGCAGGTTGAGGAAGGCGAGTTGTTGAGGACCCGCAAGCACACGGCAGCGTCGGCTTTGTTGGGTCTCCCATTACAGATGAAGCGTGCAAGGCATGAAATTTCTCGTCGTCCCACTTTGACCCTGGCACACTTTGGAGACCAATTCTCCCGTCCAAATAAAGACAATTTTCTTCGAATACGCACTGCATTCGCATATTTATCATAACTTCTTATGCCGTCCCACATTGAGCCAGTGAGAAGGGTCCTGTGCTGTAGATCTGAAATTCCTCCAAATATGAGATAAGATAATGGCAATCTCGGACCCCCACCAACAACTTTTCGACCGAACCTCCCGCACTCCTTCACATTCGCGCCGTTGAGAACCCTCAACTCTCTCTTCTTCTAATCCCGTCTCCGCCCCTCCACGATCCACGCCTCACCAACAGGGTCGCGTCCGATTCCCATTCCCATCATGACCTCCTCCCTCGCCTTCACCATCCCACCCAATGCTCTCATCACCCGAGCAAACACCGATGCTCTCTCTGCCAGGAAATGCTCTCCCACGCATCATCAAAAACCCCTCTCCGTCTCCATGGCGGTCGAGAACACCCCGCAAGGGACCCCGGCCTCATGGCCGACGCGGATGGCCCGCGCAGGCCGCGTCGCCGGCGTCTCGGCGGCGGCTGTGGCGGCCGCCATGGCTGCTCCGAACCTGCTGGCCCAGCGCATGTCCTCCCCAGACGCTCCTTTGCTGACGCCCGTCGCTGCGCCTGCATTCGCCGCTGCTAAGTTTTCAAAGAAGACCGTCTCAGAAAAGCTCTCGCAGGTCCCTGTTTTTGCCGTGACCAACGCGTCCGGGCAGCCTTATCTCGCCAACATGGACGGATCTGGCAGCCAGATCGGGCTCATATTCTTCTCACACCACGACGCGCTCAACATGCTCAAAGACATGAAGAAGAACCCAGGCGCTTCGGATGCGCGCGTCTACATCATGGGGCTCGATAAGGCTTACGAGATGGTCAAGGCGAAGCCACAGCCGTCAGGCATTCGCGGCGCCGCCGGAGAGGAGCTCACCATGGTCTTTCGATTTTTCCCGGACTCGAAACAGGTTAAGGCGGCCGAAGGCTTGCAACGGAAGCTCAGGAGGCGGCGGGGGGTCGAGGGCATTCCCGTGTTTGTCGCTAAGGGGCTGACGTTGCGGAAGGGGTCGGAGAATGTGGTGCCGCTGTTTTTGACGAAGGAGGACCTGGATTCGGCTTGGTCTAAGCTGCGGGACTCGAACAAGGACCTACCAAACAATGCATCGGTTGTCGTCGGCAATTTGTTGTACATCATTCAGCAGATGGAGAGTGATGGAGAGCCAGAGCTACGAAATCTTGGATTTTTTGCACCAAAGGCATCAGTTGAGTATGTCACCAAGGAACAAGCGGGCCCAACAGGACAGGCGCGGATGCACCAGAACCCCGTCACCCCGCAAAAGTGAAGAGGGCGATAAGATGAGCGATAAGGAGACTTAGACTTCGGGAGTCGGTCATGCAGGAATTCTACTAAAATGGGTGGTTGCGCTTGCAGGCCTTGCGTTACAGGCAGTAGTAAGGACGCGAGGTGGGAAATGGAGAGTGACTAGCGCTGGAGGATTGGCGTAGAGTTGGATCGGATTGCTGCGTTGCTGAGGCATCAACTCACTAAACTTGCACTATTCCAGTAAGTCGTAACGCGGCGCAGGCATTTGGTTTACTAAAGTTGAGGTGCACCCCAGGCACCGGGAAAATAGACTGCTGCAATGCAGTATAAACTTGGTCGTTCGTTGCGGCAAGATCTTTGAACAAAACATCATGGTTGCTTGAAGACACCGACAAAGGGCAGATGGCGAAAGCGCTGATCGACGTCCAGGCCATATCCGATGACAAACTTGTCCGGGATCTTGAAGGCGACATAGTCGATATGCGGCACGCTTTCGGGCCTTCTGGTAGTTTCTTTCTCGAGTAGCGAGCAAGTCTTAATGCTGGCGGCACCCTGCCCCTCGAAGCTTTTGTAAAGGTTAGTGAGGGTGAGGCCCGTATCGACGATATCTTCGATGACGATGAGGTGACGACCTTTCAGGGAGACATCGTCGAGCCCTTGGATAGTGACGCTCCCCGAGCTTCGGGTACCGACGTACGAGCGGGCGCGGATGAACTCGAGCTCATGCTCAACCGTCACGCTCCGGGACAAGTCAGATGCAAACATGTACGAGCCCTTCAAGACGACAATGAGGAGGGGGTTGAGACCGGCGTAATCACTGGAAATCTGGTCCCCGAGTGCGAAAATTCGCTTTGAAAGGGCATGCGTGCCGATGAGGACCTCGCTGACGACAGAGGTCCATTGGGCGGGGACGGGCGCACCGGACTCCATTTCAAGGGGGTGGGTTTGGGATGGCGGGAGGGCACGACTGCAAGGGCGGGGGCGGAAGAACGGAAGCGAATGCTAGGGTGGGGGAGGGGATCGGTTGTGGGATGAGGGTTGTCATGGCGGGTTTGAGAGATCTAGCAGCTGGCGGGGAAGGCAGCAGGGTGGGTGATTTAACTTAGCCGACTAGCCAGCGATGGGATCAGAGGCATTTGCGCCTTGTTTGATGCGGACGATCTTGTTTTCTAGAAAATTTACAAAGATGGGGGATGGGGGGTCATGACCCCTACTACACTTCGGGAACTAGCAGTGTCGTCGCTGCCGTGGTCTGTAAACATGTTTCTGGAGGTCAGAATATGGACGGCCTTGCGAGGAAATGTAGAGGGCGTCTTCGGCTCTAAACCTCTGTTCGTTACATCAAATCACTCCCTTTCAGCTCTGCCGCGAATGCTGTCACGGTAGTAATGTTTGCCTTCCTCCCTTGCCATCCGTGTGCCCTCCTCCTCCCGACCATTCGCCACCGCTCGCTTCGGCAATCTCGTCGCCTCGCCTCGCGACCGACACCGCGTCCACGTGCCAAGCTGCAGGTAGAAGTCGTGACGCTATGCAAGCGCTCCGGCAAGGACAGCGTGTTTGACGCCTCGATCACCGAGCTGTCGAAGCGCATGTCGCCCGTGCTCTCCGTGTCCTCGCGTTGGGTCAAGCCGGAGCACGCTGCGCGCACCGTCGCAGACCTCGCGCGGCGCGCTCCGGTTTTCGTGCTGGACGAGAAGGGCGGCATGCCGAGGGATAGCATCCATTTTGCGGAGCGGTTGTATGAAGCCCTTCAGGAGGGTGGGAGTAGGGCCGCGTTCGTCATTGGCGATGCTGCGGGCATTTCCAAGGATGTTCGGGATGTAGTACAGGCGAGCGGGAACGCGAGGTTGTTGAGCTTGGGGCCTCTCACATTTACGCATAAAATGGTGAGGGCGGCAAAGGGATCGCATCGCGTCACGCTGGGAAGCCCTTTTTTGGTTTCTTCATATTCACAGAGTAGCTAACATTAATGTACATTCTTTGTGTCCCACTCGTGCGTCAGGTTCGGTTGTTCCTCTACGAGCAGCTATATCGCGCCACGGAGATTCGAGCGAACAGCCGCTACCACAAGTGAACACTCCCTCGTTTTCAGTGTCCTAATCCAAATCTTCGTCTTTCTTGTCTTCTTCTTCGTCCTCAGCTTCTTGCTGTTTGCGGATCATCTCGGAGAATTCCCTGGGGTGTGGCGTCGGCACACGAGAAAGCGACTTTCGCAGGGCACGATCCTTTCCGTTGTCCGATTCAGGAGTGAAACACACCCCATGTTTCGCTTTCGGCGCGAATGGATCTGGGCTTGATTTGTTTTGTGACGGGTTCGAGTCTGCCATTGGGGAAAACGTTGCAGATTTGTTCATCGATTGCAACCCGATAAATTCTTCTTGGGCAAAGCTGGCCGTTCGTCGCTGTTTGCGGGCTGAACTGTAATCGGGAGAATCGTCCCTAGTTTCAGGGAACTGCGTTTCGGATTCTGACATATCAAGCAGCTAGGGAACGCTGAAGATTTTGATCTCGTCGGGAAGACAGCCTCAAGAAGAGGACAAGATCACAGCAAGTTGAGGATGTGTTGTGCAGCGTTTGACGGAGAATGGGAAGCTGGGAGTAAGGACGGGGGGGCTGGCTTTTCAAGATTCTCCAAGGTATCACTGTACCGCTTTTGAGCAGATGGCAGAATGCTTCAAGCCCCCAGGCAATGGGACTCGGCATCGTTCCCGGACTTATAAAGATAAACGTCGGAAGCATGCGAAGTGGCCTCGCGCAGCAAATGATCAAGTTGGCCCTAAACACAGTTTTGTAGCCGCGATGGTGGCCCGATGCTCCCCCCTGCCATGTTCATGTGGCCGCACCACAGACCACTGTATATCTTTTTCGAGCGGTGCGCTTCCAATGAAAGCACTCGGGCATTCCATCGCTACCTTCAACATTCGAATCATCATAACTGTGCCCTGCGGGTTATACCGTACCGTTGGGAAAAGTCTCCCGGGAGTCGGGACGAAGAAATCGTGGTGGTACAGGAAGGATATCTGATTGGCGAGACGCACATCGAAGGGCTACAAAGGCGAGCAAGGCACGCTTGACGATGGTAGGGGCAAAAAGTAGAAGGGTGGAAAGTGTCGCCATGAGAGGTATGGAAGGTACAAGGACCGCGGGGTTGAAGCTCGCGCATGGTGCAGCTTCCACGCGGCATGCATGTTGGATTGCCGACTGGATATGCTCTGAGAAGAGTGACCTGCCTCCGAGGCAGTCCATTATCTCTACGCGTGCGACAAAAAAACCGGAACGCAACATGGGCAAAGCGACACAAGTGAAGAAGCATGAGAGCTACAAATACGGTGCAGTACTTCTGTTAAATCCAGAACAAGAATTCGCCTAAATCTGCGCAAGGGTATGTCTTGTTCCTACTTCACCTCGGTAGTCGGCACACACCCGTCAATCTTTCGCTCTAACCTGCAGTGGCCGCTTGCAGAGCTGCGGTGGGCATTAAACGGGCAGCTCTGAAGTTACTCCTACTGTACAAGATATCGTTTGCATAAGCCGATATATCGGTCAGTGCGTACACGAATGGTATGGGACTCGTCCAAAAAGAGGGGTGGCGCCCAGAACAGGGGGAGAAAAACTTTTTATTGTCTTGTTGCGACAGCGTTTATCTATGCTGCGCGAATAGCGCTTATTGCAGAGCCCGCAACTGACGCGACAGAAGCGTCAGTTGCCTTCGGTAGTGAGTGGTATGTGCCTCCCGCAGAGGCCGCAATTTCCTTTGCGACGCCCGTGCTGACAAACTTGTTTTCAGTGTCAATACATAGGAGGTCCATTCCCTGCAAGGCACCGATCTGCTTAGCGATGTTGAGAGTCTCTTGTTTCAGCTCTGCCTTGCTCATCTTTTCCTCCAGCTCTTCCCCTTCACTCGTCGCCAGTGGGACATTGGCGCGCCCATCTGAGATGCAGATGATGATGACTTTACCCACATCACCGCTTTTCTGCGCATTGATCCCTGTGCGGACGGCCTGTACCAAGGCATGCGCCAGCGGGGAGCCTCCTCCGCATGGCATTGTCTCCAGCCTCTTCTTGGCCATAGTCACACTCTTCGTCGGCGGTAATACAACTTCTGCTCGGTTCCCTTGGAATGGGATCAGCGAGACCTTATCCCTAGTCTGGTAAGCTTCAGTCAGCAGGCGGATGGCAGCACCTTTTGCTGCGTTCATACGGTTGAGAGCCATTGACCCGCTCGCGTCGACTAGAAAGATGACGAGAGCACCAGCCTTTCGTGCGAGACGCTTTACGCGCATGTCAGTTTCCTCGACAAACACCGATCTCGTCGTGCCACTTGCTGCCCTTGCACGCCTAGCCTTTTGAAAAGGCGCTGAGGCGCGAAGCGTCGCATCGATGGCGAGTCGTTGCGTGCCACCCGACGGCATCATTGCCTTTATGTATCGCCCGCGATCCTTTGAAAACACCAAACCACGTCCGCCTGCATTCCCTTGTTGCTGCGATTTGCTAAACTCCAACAAATCCGGATCCATGACGACGCCTTCTGGGTCGAACATAAACTCCTCAGGGATTTCAGGGACTTCTTCAACGTCCTCCTCCTGTTCCTCGTTTTCCGGCTCTTCCTGCTCTTCCTCCTCCGTGTCCTCGTCGATATCCTGATCCTCGTTCTGTGGCGGTGGGGGCGGCGGAGGGCTTTCCATCTCCTGCTCCATCTCCTGGTTGGAGTTCCGGACCAGAGAGCGGGGCAGGATAGCCAGGCGGACGGCCGTCCTCAAGTCGTCCGAGTTGACCTTGCCCCGCCCTTCGAGAGCTGCTGCCGCCTTTGCAACCTCCATGGCGAAGAGTTCCGCACGATGCCCCTGGCACGCGGCGCGTGTGGCCTCGGTTACGAGGTAAGCAATTTGCTCATTCGACATGGTGACTTCCTTCAGATACTCCCTCGCAAGTACGATACTTGTGGCCATCTGATCGGTTTCCCCGGACATTTTGGCGACAAAGTCAACCGGGCTGTCACTGAAATCAGTGGCCGAGTCGACGGCCTCAATGCGTTGCTCCATACTAAGCGGCATGGCGTCGACTGATAAGTTTATGGCGAGGCGATCGAGCATATGGGGCCGTATTTCGCCTTCTTCCGGGTTGTACGTGGCAATGACGAGGGGCCGGCACGGATGGGTCACGGACAAGCCCTCCCTTTCGACGCGCACTACACCGCCCGAGATAACCTCCAACAGAACGTTGGCGAGGCCATCGTCCAGCAGATTGAGCTCATCAATATACAGCACGCCTCGATGGGCCCTTGCCAGCAAGCCCGGCTGAAAGACGGTAGTGCCCGTGCGGACACTAGCCTCGACATCGACGGATCCGATGAGGCGATCCTCGGTGACGTTGAGCGGGACCTGCACAAACGGGGCCGGGATGACGACGCAGTTCGGGTCGGGCTCCACGTCGTCTGGATCATCCCTGGGCAGCGGCTGCTCATTGCAGTAGCTGTCGCGCACGACTTCGATCGGCGGCAGCAGCGCGTGGACGGCGCGCGCCATGACGCTCTTCGCGGTGCCGCGACGGCCGCTGATGCCGACGCCGGCGATGCGCGAGTTGACGGCGGCCAGAAGCAGGGCGAGCTTGACGTACTGCTG